GGGACTGATCTCATTACCGCCTCAGAGCGTGAGTTCCACGTTCCAGGCTGCCAGGCCAGGAAGGAGGGGAAGGCGAGGCATCCGCCTGCTCCCTGCACTTTCTGCCTAAGCCTCTGGCGCCCTGGCCTGGAGCCAGCATCAGGGCTTCCCTGTCCTTGCAGAGCCTTGGCACACTCTAGTCCTCAAATCTGCCACCTTCTCCTCGGCTCCTGCAGCCCCGAGTCCAGCTCCTGCAGGAAATCCTTCCTGACTTCCCAAGAGTCACACCGGGCCCCGTCGGGGTTGCCCAAAGCTGTGGAACAAGTCATCTGAAGTGAGGGGTCCATGGGTTTTTCCCTTCTCATGGTTGCAAGGGGTCTATGAGGGCCACCTCGGAGGTTCTCACTTGGGGTCTCTCATGCGACTGGCATCCCCTGGCCAGGGCTGGGGCCATCCCAAGGCTTGCTTGGGCCTGTCCAGCGGTTGGTGCTGGTGGCTGACAGGTGCCCACAGAACCAGTCCCAGGGAACCCACATGGCCTGGGTTTCCTCGCAGCCTGGCGACTCCCCACAGACTGGAGAAACGGGGGCCCCTTTGGTGATGTTGCTTAGGGGAAGGACAGCACACCGCTCCTTGGAATGTGCGGCCAAGATTGCTCCCATTTGAGGAGCAGAGAGTAGACCACACTCTTAAGAGAATTAATCTCCATTTAAAGCCACATCACCCTCCACCAACACTCACTCATGCCTACCTTTTCTTTATCTCTACCATCCCACCTCTAAATGTCTGGTTGCCTGACTAGTGCCGGCCCCTTGGCCAGACAGAGACAACGGACCTGTGTCTGCTCATCCAGTTCCAGCCCCAGCCTCGCAGCACGTGCCAGCACGTCACGGTCCTCGGCCACTCCTGACTCATGTCCTTTCCAAAGATTGTTGACTGTCCTCGGTGCCAGGCGCTGTGCGGGGTTGGGGGGTGCATGGTGACCAGACAGGTCCCTGCACCCACGGAGTGGTTGTGGGCTGTGTGAGGGCGGGACAGGCGGGGATCGAACTCATGCGGAAGTGACTTTAGCTTCTTAGTGCTGTGCTTTAACCCGCTGCGCCCCCAGGGAGGGCCGTGGGTGTGGTTCTTAAACCTATTTAACAGCAGAAGCAACTGAGGCTTCAGGTCACTGGCCCTTCTGCAATCCTGCACAGGAAATGGCAGGTCAGTGCGCCTACTGGACTCAGGCGCCTGCACGCTGGCCTGTCTTTCAGCAGACGGCCCCAGCGTGCCTGTGTGTCTCTGGTGTGACCGACTTGAGGCTGGACACAGACAGGGACGTTCTGCCAGGGGCCGCCAGGTGAAGAGAGTGTGTAGGCATAGCCGGTGAGCCTGACAGGCCAGGGCAATCTAGGCCTGGGCCTGCATGTCCAGAGCGCCGGCCAGAACAGACGCCCCTGCAGAGCCTGCAGACGCCAGCCGGAGCTCCGTGGGGCAGGACATGGCCGCCTCTTGCTCACGCTGACGTCCTGGTCCTGGCACAGTGCCCAGCACCCTGTGAGTCCGAGCACTCCTGAATGATGACAGGGGCTTCTCGGCATGGAAGCCCTGCCCGTGGTGGGGGTGCTGATTTCTCGGGCCTCTCTTGCAGAGCACGAGCAGCTGTGGATGGCTCGTGGGCCCTGGCTTGTGTGCAGGCTTCTGGGCTCAGCTCAGCAAGGATTTACATTCTCTGCCACCGTGTGCTTGCCTGGGCAGGGCATGGCATGGCTGTGGTGTGTCCTGGTGTTAATCCTCACTGCCCACTGTCCACATCCTCGACCTAGGGTTAATTCCCCCCCCCCCCATGTGGCTTTTCCTCGGGAAGCCTTAACCTCACGGTCAGCATATGCCATCCCATAGGCCACTGGCATTGGTCAAGGGATGGACACGTGACCAAGGTGCCTGCAGAAAGTGAGCCCAGGATTTCAGTTTAGCTGCAGGAAAGAAAAGCTCTCTTTGTAGGGCGATTGCCAACGGGAACTCTGACGAGAGCCCGGAGCCACAGGGACCGACCGGACCAGCCTGAGACAATTCAACCCAGGAGAAACCAGAAGAGACACAGAGAGGGAAATGCACCCCTGTCAAGGCAGAGCCTTGCCGCCGGGCCAAAAATCTAACATCGCTCCCCTTATGCTGGGTCTCCCCTAGGCCAATGCAAGGTGGGTTTCTGCCCCCAGAACCGAGTGCTGCCTTGACTACACCACACAGCTCCCTTCTTTCCCAGGACCCCAGGCCAAGCTCAGCGCGGGGTCTCTGTCTCTCACGTCCACCTGCCCTGCAGGCCTCCTCTTCCCCAAAGCCCCGAGCCTGACTTCGGGCCCTCAGCAGTGGTCTGGGGCCTCAGTTATCAAAAGTCCCCCCAAGAGACTCCAGCCTGGCAGATCACCCCACCCCGTCCTCCACGTCATCGGGAAAGTTGATCTTTTGAAGCAGATGCGGCGGATGGCGTCCCGCCCTGCCTAGTGTCTGTGCGGGCTCCTGGCTGCCCGCAGTTGAGTTTCCGAAAGGATGGGGCACAGGCCCCTGCTGTAAAGTGAACTGCTTTTAGGCAGCTCACTGACCCAGCACGCAACACCTCAAAACAGAACAAGAAACTTAGCCACACACACACACACACACACACACACACACACACCATTCACTTACAAACCATCTGTCTGCTCTACAGAGGAGGCTCTGGCACGCCCCACTTCTCTCCCTGGTCAACAAGAGAGAAAGTCTTGAGCTTACAACCCCCCTCCAGACACTGCTTTTTTTCTGTATTTCTTTTATGGCCTCTTCTAGTTTGGCAAGTAGTTATATCAAGTTTTCTTTAAAGTAGTTAGATCAAGTATCCTTTAGAAATTAATTTGTATAAACACGCAAGAGAATCTATAAGAAAAGACTAAGGCAAATAACAGGAGGGATGTGGGTGTGGTGAGTGACGTTTTGGAAAGAGGGTTCACATCCAGGCCACAGGATGAAATGGGGTTTGCTCAGCCAGACTCACGTGGCCCTTCACAGTCCACCCCTGACAGCCGCCTTCACTCAGTCGAGACAAGGACAGCTCCCGAGACAAGGACACCTCCACCCCTCCTGCCTGGACACCCTTTCCCCTTAACCTCCTCGACTGATCAGCCTTCAACAGTCCCACGTTGAGACCCGGATCGAAGTCGCTGCTCATGACAGTTTGGCCCCTGCTGAGGGCTTGGCTGCACCTCTCAGGCCACTGCTGTGCTCTCTCAGGCCACTGCTGTGCTCTCTCAGGCCACTGCTTCCAGGGATTCCGCCCCTATCGGGCTGAGGGACCAGAAGACCAGAATGCTCTTTCATGTCTGTGCTGCAGACAGCTCAGAGCCCTCGGGGGCTGGCACACCTGGCCCCAGCCTGGAGCACAAACAGTAAGGGAAGAATTCTAAGGGAAGCGGTGGGTGCCCAAGACCAGGGCCGCTCGCTCTCCAGCTCAGGGATTCTTTCAAGAGCAAGGAGGAGGCAGAGCACTCTGGGAGAGGAGGAGCCTGCAGGGAGTTCCAGCAGGGGCCAGACAGGCAGAGGTTCTTGACTTTAACTTTTAGTGAAATCACCTCAGAACGTGACACATGACAATTCCTCAGTCCCGCCCCAAAGACTCACTAGATGGTTTTCAAGTCGCCCTGAAGCTGCAATTTAAAATCAGTCCTGGCCCTCCGTGGTGGCGCAACGGGTTAAAGCACAGCCCTGCAAGCCAGCCGCAGCTGCAGCCACTTCAGCACGAGTTCGATCCCCGGCTCCGGAGCCGACCTACATGGCACCTGACCCACCCGCTGCTCCCTTCAGCAGTGTACTTCGTCGATCTGCCTGTTCTGCTCCCCACTCTGTCTCTGGTGAATCCTCTCACCCATGAGTTCGAATCCCGCCGGCCCTGGAGGAG